ATTCAAAAACCAGCTTAATGAAGTACTGGTGCATCTGGAACATACCAACGTTATCTTATCAACACTACCTTATAGGTATGATTTGAGCGCTTCAAGCCAGGAGAATAAATTAGTTAAAGAAACCAATTTCATTGTCAGACATCTTGCGTATGAGAAACCCAACATCAAGCTCTTGGATCTCTGGACCCTTGAAAGACGCATCCACACCAGACATGGACTACATTTTAATAAAAGTGGGAAAAGGTTTATCTCTAAACAAATTCTTATACTAACAGAGAATCCCAACAACAGAAACCCTTCCTGCAGTACCTTGAACTCAACCGACCCACATGTTTCAACCTTATCTTCGCCAGCAGAAATAGTTAATGCAAACAAACCAGAACCTTTCAATAGAACATCTACTACAGAATTTTTTCCTGAAGACAACACTTTCCCGTTGCAAATAATTGAAGCTGACATGTCAGAAGTAATAGAAAGATTTTTTAATGACACATCTGTAGCTTTTGCCCACTCAATTTCTGGTGACTTTGAGGACGAAAGACAGATGAGTAGAGGTGTTGCTCTTGCCTTCAGAAAGAAATTTGGCCGACCTTTACGTTCAGAGTGCCTAAACAGCCATGTTACTCTCCAGAACAAGCAAGGTGCCGCAATTTATGGGCTTGTGACCAAGGATATTTATAGGAGTAAACCAACAGTCATGGACTATAACCTAGCTTTCAAGAAATTCACAGAGGAATTCAAAAAGAAAAACTACAAAAGACTTCTTTGTTCTCCATTGGGCTGTGTGAGGGACAAAATATCACTAAATATTTTCTCCAAAAATATAGTGGATTTCCACTACATCACTGGGGCAAGGGTGGACATAATTGCTCAGAAGGAGAAACCAACAAAAGTGCTAAAGAATGGACTAGAATATGAAACATTTTTAGCTATGCTACGGAGCTGCATCACAAGAGAGATGAATTTAAGAGTTCCTGCGAGCCTACCTGAAGATGCTCAGACTCTATCTCAGAAGAGTGTCAAAATAGCAAGTACACCTGTTGCTGTTCTACATGACCACCCATCTAAGGAACAAGTGAACTGTAGTAATGTCATAATAGACCATAAATAACCTACATCACTTGAGCACAAAAACTCTGAAGACTGCCAGACACTTACTGGAATGTCATCTGATTCCCTTTTCCATGGAGAGAATTTATGAGGAGACTACGCTCAATCGAAGAAAATTTCATAGGAACAAGAACTGAAACTGATAATGTAAATAATAATAAGTTAATTAGTCATAAGAAGTATTTTTTAAGAAACAAAAACCAAAACAAACACTAATTTAGCACCTGTTTCAAAAGCCAGTAAGAGTAAGAAATTATATATTTTCCATCAAAACATACAATGTTTAAGTAGCAGAATTGATTCTTTAGAAATCACAATTGATGAAATTAAACCAGATGTTGTTATTTTATCAGAGCACAAATTAACATTAACTGAAATTGAAAATTTTGAATTGATTGGCTATAATACTGTGAGTTATTATGTAAGGAATGTAAATCAAGGAGGCGGGGTATTAATTTTAGTTAAAAAAGAAATTCGATGTAAAAAACTAACTAATTCATTAATAGATAATTTAAACACAGATAAGATTTTTGAATCATGTGCAGTCGAATTAGAATTGAACAATGTTAAGGTTATTGTAGCTGGCATTTATAGAACTCCTTCAAGAAATATTGCTGGTTTTTTAGAAAACCTGGACAAACTTTTATGTTTTCTATCAAGTTTTAATACCAATTTATGCATTGGAGCAGATTTTAATATTGATGTATTGACCGATGATTGTAAAAAAATTTATTTTGTTAGTTTACTTAAGACACATAACATGTATTACACAGTAAATATTCCTACTAGAATAACTGATAGTTGTGAATCGGCAATAGATAACTTTGTTACAAATATTAATAAGACATATGTAAGGGTAATTTGTATTGTAACTGCACTCTCTGACCACGATGGGCAAATCCTTGAATTGGATAATGTCAAAAATAAAAATAAAAATATAAGGCTGTGGGAAATGAAACGTTGTTTTAAAAAACCAAATATTGAAAACTTTGTGAATGATTTGACAAATGAAAATTGGGACAAACTATATCAAACACCAATTGATAACAAATTTTCATATTTTTATAATGTATTGAACTATCATTTTGATAAAAACTTTCCAAAAATAAATGTTAGAAGTAACCCCCAAAGAAAAAATTGGATTGATTGGGAAATAAAACATGAATGGACTAAGCTCATAGAAAACTATAGACAAAAAAGGAGAAATAAAAATGTTTGTGTAAAAAAAAACTTAAAAATGCAAAAAAAGGAAATACAGAAATCTTGTAATACAAAAGAAAAAGCAATATTTTGAAAACATAATAAATAAATCAGATAACCCTACAAAATTTATTTGGCAATTGATCAAGAAGGAACTGTACAGTAGCAAGGATCAAACAAAAACAGAGCTATTTTTAAACCACCAAGGTAAATGTGTCACTGATCCTTATAAAGTAGTCAACATATTGAATAATTTTTATGCTGACCTTGTAGAGAATATAATTATTCCTGAAATTAAAATGAATAAGAGAATAATAAATAGACCAATAACAGATGCAGTATTAACTAATCATACTTTTAGGTTCAAAACTATTTCAGAAGAGGAGTTGATTCAAATAATAAATTCAATCAAAAGCAAATGGTCCTCTGGGTGTGATGATATCCCAACAAAAATAATTAAAGATGCTAAGTGGGCAATTCTCAAACCACTTCTTCATGTTATAAATGCATGCCTCATTTCAGGTGTTTTTCCTTCTCAGTTAAAAATATCCAAAATAATTCCATTATATAAAAAAGGAAACAAAAATGAACCGTCTAATTATAGGCCTCTTTCAATTCTACCCTCTTTGTCAAAATTCTTTGAAAAATGCATGTTATTACAATTGACAGAATATTTTGAAAATAATAATTTGTTAGACACTGAACAGCATGGTTTTAGGCAAAAAAAAAATTCACTGTAACAGCTATAATAGCCTTTGTTGAAAATGTGATTAACGAACTGGATGAAGGTAACCAATCAGTAGCTGCTTTTTTAGATTTAACAAAGGCTTTTGATAGTGTTTCCCATTCACTTTTATTAAAAAAATTAACTTCCTTTGGTATATCTGGCAAAGAATTAGCTTTGTTGGAATCTTATTTAACAGATCGCCAACAATATGTAGAAATATCACACATTGAAAATAATAAAGCTTTTAAAATCAATTCAAAAACCAGATCTATTAATTATTCTGTACCACAAGGTTCTGTCCTTGGACCATTTTTGTTTCTTTGCTATTTGGGAAAGTTGCCAAACTGTCTACATACACTTACAGCTAATAACAATTTCAGTATTTTTGCCGATGATATTAATTTAACAATCTCTGACCGAAATATTAATAAAGTTTTTTCTGAAATTGGCACTGCAATCAATATAATTAATGACCAACTAAATAGCTTAAATTTATTAATTAATAAAAATAAAACAAAAATTATTAAATTTTCTTGCAGGAAGTCAAAATCTATTACTTCAACAGCGCCACCTTTCAACCTTTGTGAAAATACGAATTTTTTAGGTTTAGCGTTGGACTGTACTCTTAATTGGACAGGTCACGTTAATAAAGTCTGCTCTAAAATAAGTTCTGGGATCTTTGCTTTAAAGAGACTGTCAAATTTCTGTGATTTGAAAACAATTAAATCGGTTTATTATTCAGTAATTCATTCACACATAACATATGGCATTGAAGTCTATGGAGCTACTTCAAATTTTAACATGAATAGAATTTTATGTTGGCAAGAAAAAGCATTAAGAACTATGTTAAAACTAAAATATGACACTCCTTGTAAAACTTATTTTTCAGAATTAGGGATAATGACAGTTTACAGCCTTTATATTTTAAACACTATTCTCTATATAAAGAACATAATTGGCACATTATCAAAAAATCTCGACAAACATGAATATAATACTAGACAAAGACATGATTTTCAAATTACAAAACATAACAAAGAGTTTTTTAAAAAGAAGCCAAGCTATAATGGGATTATCTTTTTTAACAGCCTACCAATTTCAATTAAAAATAAAATAACCTCTGGCAATTTAAAAAATGTTTTAAAATCTTTTCTAATTGAAGGTGCATTTTATAGTTTTAATGAATTCCATACAAAAACTAAGCAACACTATGTTAGTCTTTAAGTTTAGTAATAGTTTTATATTGACGCCATTTATGTATTCATATTGTATATAAAAATGAATAAAGATGATTTTGATTTGATTTGATATTTGTCTAGTTCCAGGTCTTAAGCCATATTCGCTTATTTGTTGTTTGGTGACAAATGTTTTACTTACCGTATACATATCCTTACCTATTTACCAGAAATGAAATACAGTAAACCAATTTAAAGATGTTTTTGAAACGCCAATATTCTTTGATTTTTCTATTAAAATATACTAAATCTATCAAATTCTCTTGAGAGGTCCATATATATACCATTTTATGATGGTTAAAATGGGTGCATATACTTATCCCAGTTTTATTCATAATGTACCTCCAGGATTCATTAAATAACTTAATTAAGGTTACTGACTTGTCGTCAATCAACCCTATTCTATTTCTAGTTTCTAGTGGATAACCAATTTCGGGGTTTTAACCCCATTTACAACTCCTTATTATGAATTACTCAGCACTTGCCTCGGTCAAATTTTACAACAGCCAGTGCTGAGTAATTCATGTTTGACGAGAAGAAAATTCAATTAAGGATTTGAAAATGGGGTTAAAACCCTGAAATTAGTTATCCACTAGAAACAATAGGATTGATTGACAACAGGTCAGTAACCTTATTTATTTCACCCCAGTTTTTTACGCTTAATTGAAATAGCTATACTTTTTTACAAACTACATTATTATCATGAACAAATTTAATCTGTTCTATAGGTAAAATGCAGAGCAAGGATTTCAAAACAAGAATTTCAAGACTGCATACACTTAGGGATCAAAACTGCACTAGAAGATTTTGAAAACTTCCTCAATCAATTGGTTGGTGTTTGAATTAAAGGCCACACTGAGCTCGCTACCGTGGCATGAGCGAACTTTGAAAAATGACTTATTATGTTAACAAATGGGTTAAGTCACACAGCACTACCGCGCGGCGCGCGCCTGCGATAGGTAGTGTCTGTCACAACCGCTAGCTGAGCGATTTTTGAGACTACCGTGGCAGGAGTTTTGTTTAGCTCATGCGCAAAGGTACATCTCGAATGGACGAAAAGCCAAGCCATTTTAAAGTTTAAACCTAATTCAGTTTACAGTTAAAAATTAAATTTAATATTTTTCTTTTGATTGTTGATGTATGTTTTTTGAATTTTCGTTTCACTACTATATGTAATGGATTGTTTTTGTTATGTTTATCACCAGAACAAATTCTAGATTGTTTACCATGCAAGAAGAATGTTTACTATCAAATTTTTATATTGTAGACGTAGAACTGTTTCAATTTGCAACAACCAAAACTGTACAATCAATGTAAATTTGAACTTTTAAAAGAAGGCATAGCAAAAAAATTCCATTAATTTTGAAATGTTAGTAACTGGATTAAAAAGTATTCCATTGTATGTTTTTATTAAAAAAAGTCATTAGTCATGTAGTGTATCAGAAAATAACCTTCAAAACACCAGTGAAAGTGGATAATTTATTCTCAACCATATTTAAAATGCTTGCACTTTGAATATATAGTCTCAAATAAAAAAATAATAGTTACACTTCACTTATTAATGTGCATTAACAAATAATAAAACATTCAATTGCTTCTAAAAACACTTTACTAATTTCAAAACTAGAAAATTGACATGGCATATTTAATAGGTAAGATGTGTTTATTATGTCAAACCAATTCTAATGAAAATCACGTCAAAACTCCCTTTTTACCTTGGTACCTTTTTATGGCTTGGCTCGAGTTAAAACACCCACGCGGGGTACTCCCGCAGCAGATGTCGGTGTAGTATAGCCCTAAAGTGTTTGGTTTATGGTTACAAGATACCTAGTCAATTTTTGTTCATACTAAACAAAGTTGCGAAGAAAAATGTCAGAACCTGTTCCAGCTTTAACTGCGAGAACCGACAATTTAACTATTTTTTGAGGCCTCAAATGTACCCTTATACAATTTGGAGGTGTGGAGTTTAAGTGTTAAATGTGTATTTTTAGATGGACTACATTTTGTATGCTTAACTTTTTCCTGTATCTCCAATAATAAATTAAATTATGCTGCCAGAGGTGCCCATCCCCCCAAGGTCAGGATTGTGAATGCCCCCCCATATCACATTGCCTCTTTTTCAACCCCCCCCCCCCAAATAAAGAACTTATCTACCTGACACCTTCCGACCGACACCAAAACAAATATTTTAAGGATTTTCTAAACTAATAAAATAATATAAACACCAGCTATAACTGTCAATACAAAATGTTACTTGGAAGGTTCCTTTTCTAATACAAAAATTACAAGGACGATGAAATAGTCATGATAGTTGAATAATTTGAAATGTTGAAATTACTATGTTCATGGAAAAGAATTTGGGAGGATCGTACCATGGTCATCCCCCCACGGTCACGAAGATATCATCGTCGTCTTTATTGTTCGCAACAATATTTTGACGTTTCTAAGCCGACGTGAAGACACCATCATCATTGCCTCTTTGATCGCAGCGATATCTTGAAATCCCTCCGCGGTTGCGAAGACATTACCATAGCCTCCTGTGTTTGCAGCAATATCTTGACATCCCTCCGCGGTATCAAAGACATGATTAGTGGCGGCTGGTTTATTAGCACTCTGGAACGGAGTCCTCCCATTTTCTAGGCAATAGTATAATTAATAACTTAATAATTATTAATTATCACAAAAATATGATTTTTATTCCTACATTTGAATGTACAAACATTAGCAGGGTCAATGTTTTTAGGACACCGATAATGGACGCAACATATTTTTGCAACAGGTAGTACACAGGGACTAAGTAGATATGAGTCCAAACTCCCATATAAAACTGCATAGAAAAATTCAACCAATCACAGCACTGTGCCAGGCACAAATGCAATAGGTATAGGGCATTTGTGACTATGTCCAAACAGAAGTTTTACCTATTGCCCCAATGAGCGCTGAGCGCTACGACCTGTTGACTGTCAACACAATATCTGTCAAATATGTGAATGTAGTTTAGTGATTCGTAGAGGTTATGTTCATTATGCCGCTGGTATTCTGGGTGTTATTTAATTAATGTAGGTATACTATTGTTTCTCTAGAAGTGTGTGTGTGTGTGTGTGTGTGTGTTGGGGAATGATACATTGTGAGATCCGACGTATGGTTACACACCAACAACGTGAGCTCCGTTTTCAATGTGAGCTCCGACCCCCCGGAGCTCGGATTGAGAAAGCCTCTGATTCGTTGTCCTAGTGACTTCGGCATCACGGAAATACCCGAAATAGCTCGAACTAGGTCGGAGCTCATTTTACTGCTTTTTACCAAAGTGTGCGAGTGTATAGCTTCATAAAATCGACACCACGTCGCGCTACGATCGCGTTTACACTCTTCGATGCACACCAACATGGTTCCACACAGTCAATGTGAGTTCCGCTATTGTTCTGACTTCCGCTCCGCATTTAGTTGTTTTCAGCGCGTTATTCTCGAATTTCTAGTGCCAGAACGCGATCCAGACTACTGTATATCCATGTCGTGTTTATAGGCACTGAGGAGGGGGGAGGTAGCTTCGCCGTCAGCATAGCATTGTTGTAGTCTGTTGCGTTCTCCAGCTGTGTTTACCGCTGAAAATAAAATATTCTTTAATTTATGATAAGGATAAATTGCATAAACCAAAGCCTTCTCTGAGGGTATAGTAATGATTTCCCCGAGCAAAGCTTAGTACCCTGGTACTTATTTATTTTTTTCAAGTCGATCTACCAATTCTCCAAATCAGTAATCAATAGTCAGCTATCTTGAAACAGCTGTTCCGTCGTATGTTCTTTAAAATGCTTAATTGTATCCACAACTAACTGTTTACATTTCATTTCAGTATTAAGTTTTTTTTTTATTTTTATTTCGGGACGTGATTTTTATTTCCTTCCCGATTGTTTGGGGTAAAACAACTAGGTTAAATATTATTGCAGATAGCAATAATATTGAAAACAAGCATCGTACTAAAAACAATTCTGTATAAAAATTAAACAAGTACAGTAACAAGATCTGTTGTTGACTAAACAAATTTAATTTTTGGTTCAATTAACTATGAAACATAAATATAATTATAAAACACCAAATGCTAACCTTATATAGACATTTAACGTGAATACGACACGAATACAACTACATAAAAAAACTTGAGTAAAGTCTTAAGGCCTGATATATGGTTACTTGTAAAACAGCAGTAGAGTTTAATCAGGCAGGCCCAATCCTAAATATTTTAACATGTGCCTATCACAATGTCATTATTTTTGCATGACTTTAATCCTCAATTGTGACATCATTGTGAAGATCTCCCGTGATGACGGAGCCACCGTGACCATGTTCGCGGCGCTATATTCAGTTGTCCAGGCGTCTCAGCAGTCAACACATCTCGTAATCTCGGCGCCTGATCCACAACCAAAGATCTCTATATAATACAACAAATCTGTATTATATATATGTCCACAACACGCCCCACGCTCGCGGCCGGATCGTCAACGTGTCCCCGAATGTCCCGCGGTCAGAGCACCATCGCTTGTGAGCACGGTGCCATCATCAACATTACCCGCGTTCACGGCACCATCGCAAACACTTCCCTCGCTGCCCACGCTCATGGCGCGATCGTCAACATGTCTCATGGTTGTGGTACCATCGTCAAAATTTCTCACGGTCGTGGCGTAATCATTGACATGTTTTGCGGTTACGATGCCATTGTCAACACGTCTCGATTATGTCTCCGGTCACGGCATTATCGTCAACATGTTTTGAGGTCATGGTACCAACGTCAACATGTCTCATGGTTCCAGTGTTATCGTCAACGTTTTTGCGGTCATGGCGTTAACCGTCAACGTATCTTGCACTCACGGTGCCATCGTTGACATGTCTCGTGGTCACGGTGCTAACTTCAACATACCTCGTGCCACAGAAAACATATTAAGAACGTTTTCTGTGCTCGAGGTTACTTTGCCAGGATAAATATCTCCCGCGATTACGGATACATCATCGTCTCCTAGGTCCGCCGAACCATATCGTGAAATTCTCTCGCAATCACGGAAGTGTCGTCATCGTCACTCGCGACGCAGCGAATCCTTATTTTATCAAAATATACTTGACTATTTTAAAAACAATAGCTTCAACTTCGTGTGGACTTTATAGCCTCCGATTTATTTTATACAACCTTGAATATGGGCGAATTTCTCTCGTTTGTATTATAACGCAATAACACAATATGTTTTATTCTTAATTCGGGAACAAACCACGACTAGCTACCTCTAGTAAGATATAATCGTAGGCACCTGGTACAAAGTGTTCCACATATTGTTTAATCTAAGCAAACTCATAAACATTCAGTACTTGGAAAGGTAAAGGAAATATGAGTGAGCAGAATACAGGAATGTCCCGTTAACACGTTATTCACACGTTACTCCAAATGGACTTCATAAGCAATTTCTTAGATTTTCCTTTTGCAACAGGTCATCCCAGTTATTGGAGTGTCGGGTCACTCGGGTCAGTTCACTTTTGTGATATTGCGAGAGTGTGATTGACCTCCAATTTCCAACCTATAAATATTGTTTAGGTTTTACGTGGTAATAAATCGCAAAAAGGACAACTCTCCTATTTGTCCCTAACTTTCTTTTCTTGTCCGCATCTTTCCTACGCTCGAAAATCTCGATTGAACATAGCAAAAAGCGATGGAAACCGAAGATTTTTGGAGCTTGATTTTTTACCCTACTTTTAATGTGTTTTTATTATTATTAAACCCATCTAAAAAAAAATTGCTGCTCACAGTTTTCCAGCAAACGCCATTTTTACCCAGAAACCCAGGTTTTAA